AGACGTAACAATACCTTACAGGATAGAGAGTGGTGCACTCAGAATTTTGAAATAAACATGGAGATGCTTTATTGTATCGAATTACTGTAGGACAAAAAGCCATACAAAATTAAAATAATAAAATTCAGTGTCTCTGTCTGTGTGTCACGTAACTTCTCCTGAACTGCTCGTCGCATCTACTTCTCAGTGGTACTAAACGAATCGTCTCGTTCACGAGGTTTGCACAAAGTTAAAAAAAATTCATCCCCCACCCTGGAGAACCCGGATATTTCCAGAAAACCCCTTCTCCTAAACTACTGGACTCACCAACTTCTAAGTGGTTCCAAACGAATCGTCTAGGACTCGAGGTTTGCACAAAGGTAAAACTTTTCACACAACCACTTAAGGGACCTGGGTATTTCGCGAAAACACTTTTACGGGGATTCCCGAAAGCGGACCCCAAATTCGCCATTGATTTATATTAGAGCAAATAAATAAGTAGGCGTACTAATTACTGTTCGTAACTTGGTTATAGAAATTATAGCGGCAATGATCATTAAGCTAAAAAGGTGCAAAATAGTAATTCAAGCATTAAATTTGCATTATAGCGGTCCTGTAAATGTGAGCCATGGGTTCGCTGGTTAGGTATAATTTTAGGTTACAGCATGGTATCAAGAGTATTCAAAATATTATATTCTTGTGACTGATAAATTACTTTAAATACCAAAAATATTATGACATAACAGTACAATACTAAATAGTACAATATTAAAAAATATATACTAATTAATATATTGAAAGAATTCACCATGTTGTTTATTTCAGGCTGCAAAGCCTTAATGAGCATCTTTGAACCTTAATGTTTTTTTCACCTGTTGCCTTCAATAGAATCTTACATTGCTGAGATTCAATTTCCCCTTCACATAACATAGCATGCTGAAAGACATTTTGGATGAAGTATGATGTTCTACAATCCCTTGCTGGTACTGGAGCTAATGTAGCCCTTCAAGTAAATAACTTTTATATTTGTAGACGACAAAGGATTTTTGTATTTTGTTAATTTTTCATCTTGAATGGAAAATAATTTCTTAGTTAAAAGGACAACTGATAGACACATCTACGGCTTATTATTCCGCTGACCATTAATTGAAATTTAACCTTATGCCACGAGCAGGGTCAAGAAGGATTGTCTAATCTTCGAGCACTCTTGATTAGTAATTGTTTCTTAGGAGATAATTATTTTTAAATCAAAATAACTGCCAAGAACAACAACAACATATACGTTGTATTTGAGGATAGGCCTCAATAATTTTAAACTTTTAGACATAATGACAAGGAATTTCTACCTAGATAAGAAAAGTAGCTAGCAAAAGCTTCAACTTTAAAGGTTGGAGAAATATTATTAATATTATTTAGTTCTCCATTACTTATATAACATTTTGTTCAATAACTGTAATAGGAAAAACATTTTTATATATGAACTTGATTAGTGTTTGGTATCTCATTTTTACAGAAAGTTATGTTACTATAAATTTTATATGATCGAGTGGTTAATACTTTGATAAGGTTATATTTAAAAGATTCTTGGATAAAATGTTCACAGTTGTAATAAAGAACCGTGTATGTCTGTTTATGAAAGTAATTAACATCAAAATCTGAAGCATGTCGTTCTGCAGTATTGTCTAGAAATGAGAGTTTAAAATTATGAAAGTCAACATAAAACTTAATACTATGATGATATTTGTTTAA